TATGGACAGATAAATAGTCATAAGAAGACCCCCCTGGAACAATTTGTTAGAATCTCATTGAATGATTTTTCCCTTAGCTTTGTTTTCAGTGGGGTCTGAAGACCTCCCAACGGCCGATAAGATCGTACAGGGTGGGCCTTCTCCAGGTGCCGTCAGCCAGACAATGTCGGCTGGCGGCTCCCCAGGGAAGGGCCTTCTCTGTAGCTGCTCCGACCCTATGGAATGAACTACCCCCCAGAGATCCGGAACCTACCCACTCTCATGGCCTTCCGAAAGGCTATCAAAACCTGGCTATTCCAGCAGGCCTGGGGCTGTTGACCTCATGACCGAGGTCCAGCCCCGACTAGACTAGGTGCATGATTTGGTTTTTTTTAATCTGTTTTCCTCCGTTTTTAACTCTTCGCTTTTTTAAAATTTATTTCTGTAAGCTGCCCGGAGTCCTTCGGGATTTGGGCGGCCTATAAATTCATTAAATCAAATCAAATCGGAGAGGTCCGTACTCAGAACTGTCCCCTTTGCCAAAGTTGTTTCCCAGCAGTTTCAGTGAAAACAGTTCCATCTGAGATGAGCTTGATAGAATCCCACTTTGCTAACATGCATTTATTTTAACCAGATGGTTCCTGAGAAAGCGCAAAAGGACATGACACTTCTTAATCTATCCTGTCAGACGACTTGGATTGGCCTACAGTAATTCTGAATAGGTCTTCCCTGCCCTGAAGCATCTTTCCCATTATCATCCATTATGGTGGCAGCCATATTTGCTGTTGCTCCATCATGTACAGTTTGATTATCTGTGCAGGAAAGGGTGGGGGAAGAGCAGGAGAGCTACCACCCACTCCCTTTTTCACACGTAAGAAAAAACATAATGCCCTAGAAGCAACGTTTTATTTTTATTTATTTATTTCATTTGTTAGATTTTTATCCTGCTTTTCCTATTTTATAAGTAACTTAAGGTGGCAAACATGCAAGGCATTTTGATATTTAGAAAACTATACTTATTGAAACTCTGATTTCAGAATAACTCAAACTTTTCAGAGATAATTAAGACTTGGTGTCAGAATATCTTTCTCTTGATAACAATGCCAAATGCCCAATTTTAGGAGAAGTAGGGACACATGGAACCTATTCTTTCACCAGCCCCATCTGGATGCCATTTTTCTTTCCTACTCAGGATTCCTTTCAGTGCCTAAGTCAATTGGAAAAAAAGTAATTTCAGGGAATAGACTGTGGAGAAGGAAACATGTTCTTATAGCTGATAAAACTGAGGAATGAATAACATTCATTATAAATCTTTTACACCAGCATTCTCCAACTAATTGCCCTCCAAAATGCATTTAGACTGTATCATCTCCATCCATCATGGCCATGACAAAAAGGAGGGTAACTTAAGTTGCTGACCTATGTATATCCCTAGAGAGTACAATACTGACTCCTCAATTATGGCTTCTTAAGAAACTCAGCACACACAGAAAAAGAAAAGCAGGAGTGTTTATTTGTACGATGTATCTAAGCATAATATATCAAAGCAAGGGAACAATTATTGTCTAAATATTGTCATGACCAGCAGTCTATGTATGCCACAAAGGCAGCATAGTACAATATGCAGCAAATTCAAGGCAGCAGCCCTGAAGTATCTCTAAATAAGGACAGAAAGTTATAAATTTCTGTTTTCAGGTTCTTTTGGTTACATGAACTCTATGTTTGCCTTGTTCAAAAGCTCTAAGAAAGTCATAACTGAGGACAAACAGCATGAATAAACTGCCAATCTTTAAATGCCCTCTTGTAAGAATACAGGATCTTTTTGGATGTTTGCCAAAAATCATGCCTGCACTAAATCACTTCTTCCCATGATTCAGAATTCAATTCATACTAACATCCTGGTCTTTAGTCAGAACAATGAACAGGTATTTGAGTGATGACATCTATTTATTAAGCTGCTGGGAGGAAAAAAAATCTAGAAAAAAAACTCAATCCGGAATGTTTCTATTTGCTTGGAAAATAATCTGTTTAAGGAAGTAAATCTAATATAGTACATATGAATCATAACAAGGAACTATGGGAGGGGTTTTTTAAAAGAAAGAAATCAGAAAAGAGCAAGTAAATGTATTATCTGACTATCCTCACCAGTATTCATACTTACTTTGCTAAAATGCCCAAACTTAGGAATAATTTGATAACTTCTGTAATGCAAACGGCTGTAGAAGAAAAGTACAGTACTGCTCCGGTTGTTCTTGTGTATCGCAATGCTACTGTATACGTTGCAGCCACTAAGGTCATCACCGTCAAGCAGTACAATTTAAAAAGTAGGCTGACATTTTCTGAAAAAGCAAAAGGATCCTTCTTTGAAATATAAGAATTAAAACACCACCTTCAACAGTCACAAATAAGTTCACATGAATCATCCTGATGAGACAGAGAGAGATAGAGATACAGAGATACAGAGAAAGATACAGAGAGGGAGAGAGGGAGACAGAGAGTAAATATGAATTAATTCTAGGTACCCCAACAACAATGACAGCTGGTCATCTACAGAGGAATATCAGAGGAATATCTGATAACCATTAGAGCAGAGTTTCTGAAACTTGGCAATCTTAAGATGTGCAAATTTAAATTTCCATAGTTGGCTGAGGAATTCTGGAAATTGGGCACTGCCAGAATTCAGAAACACTGCATTACAGAGTGGTACACAAATCTTCACAGGCATCATGTTTAACAATCGGTCAGGTTGGTCAGGTCTGTTTCCCAGTGTGCACTGAAACAACTTTTCCCTATGTCAACCACGATTTTTTTCATGATGATTACCAAGGCATCCCCCACCTAAACAGCCTATTTGGCAGGGATGCAATTTTGTACTTCACTATTACTTCTATGCCAAAACAAGGTGGTGGGTAAAAGTGAGCTGTCCTGGAGCAAAAAGCCTCACATCTTCATGTCTTTGGGGTGGAGGTGAGTTTAAGTAATTGTTGACTCTGGCCAAGTTGAGAAAGAGTGACTGGTCCAAGGTTACCTAGCTGCTGTGTGCAAATGGCTCTCCTCATGTCTCTAGTAATTAACATGAGGATATTCACTGCACAGCATCTCATGAAGATATCTCTAATTCTACCCAATTTTTCAGATAGGATAATCTGGAATTTTATTTCTCTCTACAGATTTTGTTTCAATAATTATATAAGAAATTAATAATTAAAAATCCTGACAGCATCCAGTTCCAGGTAATGATTTAGAATTGGTACCATCTCTAATTATCAAGGAAGACTTTGCTTTACTACGTTCTTTTTTTGTATTCCCACAACACTCTGTGTGTGTGTGTGTGTATGTATACACACACACATACATACACACACATACATACACACCATTATTTTAATACAGCGTTGTATTCCCAAATTCAGTCACTTAAACAGTTATTCTTTCAAGGGAGTTCCACCTTGTGTAAATATTTCCCCAAGGTATTATAGGTTACGCTTTGTAATCATATAATTTATGCTAATCTTTTAAAGATAAGATCTCATTTGCCTCAACATGTGGCACGTGAGGCTAAGTTCTGCAGCAGATGCAAGTATCAGCAACCAGGTGATGAACAGCACTATTAAACGTTTTTCTTCCTTTGAGTAGTAACAAGGAAACTTACTTTTCATAATAGGGGGGGGGGGAGGGTGTTGTTTATTCTGTTACCAGGACAGAATGCAAAAGTGTTACACATGGTGCCAACGTGGCAAGGTGATTAAATAAAATTGCAGAGAGACAATGGTAACCATAACATAATTTAGCTTTGACTTCAAAATAGCATTGCATATTTATAGCATACTTCATAAAGCCAATTGTTTTTTTTAAAATGACCATATTATTAACAACTTTTTAGTGAACTAAAACTTTTCTGTATATATATTAAGCCTACATATGAACATACCAAAAACTGGATGAATCTGTAAAACGTGAACCACTTCCACAAGGAACTATTAGAAATACAGAGAACAGCTACATTTAAATTAGGGACCCTCATGGCACAAATCTTTGAAATAGCAATAGCAGTAGACTTATATACCGCTTCATAGGGTTTTCAGCAAGAGATACTGTAGTTCTCTCAAAATGAACTGAGTTCAATGAACAATTTGTGTACTTTTTTCACATGTCCAGATCCTTGTGAAAACTGTCTTCATTTTTTACAATTTCTAATATCAAATCCAATTTACTAAGCAAAATATAATTTCATTCCATAGTTAGCTCATATGCTTCCAAACTATGTTCCTTTGCTATTCTATTATTTCAGCCTGATCAATTCATATGTAAAATAAATCACTTGTCAACACACTTGACAACAGGACAATTGATTGAAAACAAGAATGGGAGAAGCATTAGATCCAGACCATTAGATCTGGACATCACTTGCACAAATCAAGCATTATTTCCACTATCCTCTCAACAGCTCTCAAGACTTATTTTAGCAATACAGACGGGAAGGCATGCATTTTTCCGTGCCTAAAGGCTCTTAAGGTACCAGATACTCCAACCAAAATCACTCCGACCATTTTCCCAACATGGGACTACATCTGTTGGACTTCCAAACCTATCATTCCCAGCCAGCATTTTTTTTTTAAAAAAAAGTCCAATACATCTGAAAAGCTTTGGTTGGGAAAACCTGTTATAGTGCAACGGAACAGCTATCCACAGACAGCAGAATCGGTGGCAACTAATAGGTGTCTGTTTGAGCCTTCTTTAAACTAGCCACCTTCTTCTTCTAATCAGACCGAGTTCCATTCCGGGAAGGGGGGGGGGGCTTTAGAATTCCGCCTTTTCCTTATGGAATCTCCCACCCGCACGTGGGGATGCCCAACCATTAGCCCCAGTGAAACGGATCGCTCTCTTTCTGCACAAGTGGTAAAGCGGAGTCGATCGGAGCAGCCTGGTTTTGCGATCCGAGCACCAGCGGGATCGGGCGTTAGGATCCGAGGCTCGCTTCGCTTACCTTTCGGAGGCGCCATAGTAGCCAAGAGACGGAATCAATTGGCGAGCGAATAAGCCCGCCCAGCCGATCAGTCCAATTTACCATAGAGAGCTGTAGAAGCCAACTAGAGGGTCCGTTCCGGTACGCGTCGCTTCGAGGCTGCCGCCGGAAAGAGAAATAGAGCGAAGCTTTCCGTGGAGCTCCTCAAAGGGAGTCCATCGCCTATTCCAGGAAGTGGGTTTGTATTGGTGTTGGCAGAGCTGTTCCTTAAAGGGACAGGACGCCCGGAAAATCTTATTTTTAATATTCAAGGCAGATTTCAGTTAGCCCAATTGAGCAACTTTAAGACATGGGGTGGACTTCAAATCATGCCGGCGGGTTGGGGAATGCTGGGAGTCGACATCCTCCTCTTAAGTCTCTATATCAGTGTTTCTCAACCTTGGCAACTTGAAGATGTCTGGACTTCAACTCCCAGAATTCCCCAGCCAGCGAATGCTGTCTGGGGAATTCTGGGAGTTGAAGTCCAGACATCTTCAAGTTGCCAAGGTTGAGAAACGCTGCTCTATATGGAGATTCTCAGTCATCCAGATCATGGTTGTCCCCAAGGTGCTTTTTTTCAAAAGGCAACCGGACTTTCTTGTTTTTCTTTGAAGACGTTTTGATTCTCATCCAAGAAGCTTCTTCAGTTCGGACTGAATGGTGGAGATCTTTTTCTTCAAGGAAAAAAACAATAAGGTCCAGTTATCTTTTTTTTTGGGGGGGGGGGAGCATCTTTGGGTCCATGTCTTAAGGTTGGCAAGTTTGAGAAACACAGAGTTAGTAGAGCGAGCGTAAAGTCTGATCTCTTCTTGTGTCTTTTGAGATGGACGTATCACTTGCCCAGTGCCATCTTTTACAGCCGAGATTTCTCCCAATGAAAAGCAGCAACTTCTGTACTGTACTGTAAAATGTAGCCTGGGGATTGCTGGAGACAGTCTCAAGGGTCTGCTAAACCAAAATTATTAGCCAAATATTGAGGATATTTGCAAAGCTCGTCATTATTATGTTAAAATTATAAGGTTTTTTTATGAAAAATATGTTAGTATCTAATGCGCTTATTGCTGTTAATTTTACATGGTTCAATAAAAACAATTCTGCAAATGCATCAATTTTAATTTTTAATATGGTAAATACCAATAAATCTAATTCATATAAACAAAAGCCCTTTTAGTGTCCGCCATCATTTTTAAAAGTGGGAGGTGGTCCTGAGAGCAAAAAATTGTAAGAAACACTGATCTGGAGCACTTTTAGGCAGATGTATATTGTCTTTAGTACACTGTGATGACATAAGCTTTCCTGGAGTGTGAGTCATTCATCTTGGATTGTTTACACCTCAGGCATTGTTTTTTGTTAAACTATTGTGGTTTTAACTCTTGCCTGCCCACTCCAGTCACTTCTGTATCGCAACCTAATGGTAAAATCCTTGAAATTCAGGTCCTCATAGTTTTCTTGGCAATTGCGTAAGTAGTTTGCCACTGCCTTGTTTTGGGATTTTTCTTGTTTCTATTTCCCAGTCTGCTTTATAAAAGTGATGTCTTCTAAGCAACGCATGTGCTGGTAGCATTTTTTTCCCATTTACTGTTATGTTAATAAATGTGCCTTTTCTGCCCCACAATGTAGCAATAGCAATAGCAGTTAGACTTATATACCGCTTCATAGGGCTTTCAGCCCTCTCTAAGCGGTTTACAGAGTCAGCATATTGCCCCCA